CACATCAGTTCGCATACAGAACCAATAGGTCCACAGAAGATGCCATTGCTACTGCCCTGCACACAGCATTGCTCCACCTGGAGCACCAAGGCAGCTATGTGAGGATGCTTTTTATTGACTACAGTTCAACGTTCAACACAGTCCTCCCTGACAGGTTGGTAGCTAAACTGCTGGACTTAGGTCGCTCTCCATCTATCTGTCACTGGATTAAGGACTTTCTGACTAACCGCCCTCAGACGGTTAGGTTAGGCTCCCATTTCTCCTTCACCTTAACTCTGAGTACAGGTGCTCCACAGGGCTGCGTGTTGAGTTCACTTCTCTACGTCCTTTATACTCATGACTGTACTTCAATCCATCCTACCAACACCATCATCAAATTCGCAGATGACACGACCGTAGTTGGACTCATTGCGGGAGGAGATGAAACAGCTTACAGAGATGAAATTCAGAGACTGATAGAATGGTGCATGGCAAATAACCTGGCTCTGAATGCTTCTAAAACCAAAGAGCTCATCATTGACTTCCGAAAGCACAACACAAGCCTTACACCATTGCACATAAGCGGGGTCTACGTAAGAGGGTTCCGGCCTTCAGATTCTTGGGCATGAACATCGCTGAGAATCTTTCCTGGAGCACAAACACTTCAGCAGCGGTCAAAAAAGCACAGCAGCGACTCTATTTCTTGAGGACACGGAGGAAGAACCATCTACAAGAGCAGCTGCTAGTGTCTTTCTATTGCTGTGCCATTGAAAGTGTGATAACTTACTGCATCTCTACGTGGTACGCCAGCAACTCAGCGGCAGACAAGAAAGCTCTCCAGTGGGTGATCAATTCGGCACAAAAAATCATTGGCTGTCCTCTGCCTTCCTTAAAAGAACTTTACACTGCACACTGCCTTGGAAGGGCAGCAAACATTTTAAAGGATCGCTTCCATCCAGGACATCATTTGTTTGAATTGCTGCCCTCTGGTAAACGTTTTAGGTCCATCAAATCACGGACCAATAGACTTAAGAACAGCTTTTACCCCAGCGCTATACGGGAGCTGAACGCTGTAAGCATACACACACAACACACACACATGAAAAATGAGAAATGCACCAATCTGATGGGGCATCTTATATCTCAACCGACACAGGTTAACAACACCCTCTGTATACCTCTGTGTGTGTCTATTTAGTACAAGTTTACATCTTATATTATTCAGTTTGTGTTTGTGTGTATATTCTGTTGCACTTACCTCTCTTTTATTGTGTGCAACATCATGCAGCACTTTTCTGCCCAACGTGCAATATTTCTGTGCAATATCTGACTGTTCGTTTTGCTGTTACTGTTTATTATTTAAATTAGATGTTTAGCTTGCACTAATTTATGGGTGATTGCACTGTACGGATTGCTCTAATTTCGCTGTACTTTTAGTATAGTGACAATAAAAGAATCTTGAATCTTGAATATACTGTATATATGAAGAGTTTGGTTCCAAAACGCTATAAATCCATTTCGATTAATTTGTGCAAAAATGTTCAAATGTTCAAACAGGTTCATCAATGCCGTCAAAATTATTCAGTTTTTTAGGGCTGCACGATAAATCGCATGCGATTTTCATGCGCATCTCATCAGTAAAGCCGGTTCTGTGATTAGTAGTAAATCTCCATCACGTGCTTTCAGATGTATCGCATTCTGCAGAGAAGGGAGACTAGCGTTTGTCGTGGTTTGGAAAGATAAGGAGAAAACATGACAGAATAACACGCCGGATATCGCAATTTGTGTAAAATTAAAAATTGACTTTTCAATACAGACCAGATACAATACTGATTTTGGCGGGAACTCAAAATTTTATCGTTTATCGCGTTTTGGAACCAAACTATGAATATACATAACTACAAACTAAACATAACTATGAATACAATGTATATAAATATAATTTACCAATATAGTGAATATACCAGTATAGTAGTAAATATACCAATATAGTGAATACACGCCAAGTATAAATCTCTTGGCTCAATCCTTACTAGTAAAGCCAGCTAGTTAATCTAATTTCTTTTCTGCAGTGCTTTAAAGGGGATGATTTAAGCTCAACTGTTAGTTCAAACTGTTGGTTCAAACTCTGAATTCAACCCAAGTACAGTCATTTTTTTCAGTAAAAGAACTGAATCAAACACTTGATTCGATTCACTGAAACACACGATTCATTAGAACTCATTCACAGAAATAAGGTGCCATTTTGATGGCAAGATACGCTATTAAAACTCACAATGCTCAGGAAATGTCAAGAGTCAAATAAAATGCGAATAAAATGCTTTATCGCAACATTTGTGATGTTTGCCGGCAAAATCATCGTAAATATAACATGAATATTGAATATACTGCAGCTGCTTGGGTTTCTAAAGCCCGGTTCACACCACACCAGAGTCCACACCACAGCTATAACGATAAAGGCACAGAGAAATTATATCGTTGGAATCATTTTCAGAACGATTTTTTCCAGCTGATGATTGATAAAAACATTGACACCCAATCAGAATCCATCCTGCTGTCACGAGCTGGCGAATTTAAAGCAGCAGACGAGCGTGCGCTTACAGATGATATTGTTCGCTGGTGTGGACGCTAATATCTTTATAGTTATCGTTCTTGGTGTGAACGGGGCTTAACACTGTATACCTTGTCGTAGATGTAGATCCTGTCGGTGTTTTTGCTGGCACAGAACTTCAGAGAGTCGTACACGGGAACGGAGTCATCCGACTCCTTTTGAATGTGAATGTCATTAGCTATCGGAGAGAGAGAGAAAGAGAGACATGATGGGAAAGTCGGAGTGACTAATAGGAGAAGAAAAAAAGAGAGCAGGGCAATGAGAGGACGAGAGGAGCGGATGATCATTTTGCTCCTGATGAAGGTCAGGTGGCGCAAGCGCTAACGAACGCTGGAATGCAGCAGGTATGCCGTGACCTCAAACGATCCCGCCATTCGGAGAAATCGGATTCGTCCGGATTTCGTCCCACAGAGCTGTTCTACATTCATTTGGGTCAGGCTCGCTGCAAAGACGCCCCACGAGGCTTAGTTACCAGAACCCTACTGCGGTCTAAAATAGCCGAGCCGTCGCCGGCTGGCCAATCACAACGTGTTATTAAAGAGCCATTATGCTTACTGTATGCTGCTGGGAAGCTGGGATTCTGTGCGTGTGTGTCGTAAAGGTGGGCGTTAAGACAAACCCTGCAGTGTCTGAAAATTGCACTCTTTATAAGAAAGGTGAACGCTCGTCGATTCTCTGGCTTTGAAATGGCCTGTTATTATCCATATTTCACGCAGACGTGCTCTTAGCTGCGGTGACGCAACTGTGAAATTGTTCTTAGAAGGTAATTTTGATCATCGAGGGCTGACGTTTTCTCTTAAAGAACGCAGCGGGAGATATTTCGCAAAAGGGGCAAGTTGCTCTTTGCTGCTTTTCAGATTCAATGACACCGAAATTTCACGTCTTGTAACTTGTAACTTTATAAAAAAAGAAAACTTTGACAAAAAGAAAGTCGTTCAGGTTTGAAGGTCTGTCTTGGAGTTTATGTATAATTATATTACTTGAATAATCTCCAGCTTTTATTGCAATTTGTATTAATTTCTTTTAAATAATAATATTTTTTAAATATAAAATATTAAATAATAACTGTTAAATGACACATATAAATATATAAAAAATAAAATTGTATTATTTATTAAAAAAGTAAGCATTTTAAAAATAATATAAAAGATTGATAAATATACAAATAAAATTATGAATATATTTAAAATATATTTTTAATAATATAAAATATTAAATAATAACTGTTAAATTACACATGAATTATATATAAAATAAGATTTATATTATTTTTTAAATGATTACTTTTTAAATAAAAAATACAAAGATTAATAAATATACAAATACAATTATGAATATATTTTAAATATTTTTTTAAATAATATAAAATATTAAATTATAACTGTTAAATTACACAAATTATATATGAAATAAAATTTTAGTTATTTTATTAAAAAATGAATCATTTTAAAAATAATATTAAAGATTAAATATACACAAAAATTATGAATATATTTTAAACATAAATACATTTTATTATTTACAAAAATATGTTTCTGTATTATTGGTGCTGAAATATCTCGTAAATGTCTCATAAATAATTGCTTTCGTAGTATGGAAAAAAAAATTAGCTTGAACATTCAGCAAAACTTCGACAAAACAAAAAAGTCACACAAGTTCTAAGGCGAAAATTACAGGAATATCAAATATCGGTAAAAAAAGGCAGACAGTTATCAGCTTTTACAGTACATAAACCGATAACTGCTTGATAACGTTTTTTTGACTGATATCCAATATTGCTTGCTTATTTGATTTTATTTGTATTTTAATATTTAATGTATTCAAAGGAATTTATTTAGTTTATTTTTTTATTAAATTATTATTCCACGCAATATTCTATATAATAATAAACTGACTGTTCACTTTCAGAAGTTAGTGACGAGTGCTTCAGTTATTTGACACTTAAAAACAATCAGTATCACTCATAAACAATATCGGTTGATCTAAAGTAAATGACAAGAATTGACATTTTAGGGAGAATTATTCCCTTAACATCTGAGTGAAAATTCCTGAACGTGGCGGGAGTGTGTTTGGAACAGACCTGGATCACCGCTGGAGAGAGTTTGTGAGCTGAACTCATTCTTTCGTTGCATTTCTTGAGATTCATCCACGTGTGTTTCTGCCACATCCGGACTGGCCTGTAGGTTTGGACGTGTGTGTGGAGTTTGTGGGGTGCTGGGGGTGGCTGGTTCGTTTTCTTGATCTGAATCAGAGATGCAGATGGTAGTGAGCGACGAGGAGGATGAGGGGTGATCCGGTAATGATGAAGATGTGCTGGGAGCTAACAGAGAGAGAGAGAGAGACATAGAAGATGAGTTGCATCTATAGGGTCAACCTCGGTCCGCTGTTTTAAACCATACGTCAGTTCTGTTTCAGCTTGATCGTCACATTTTACAGCACAAAACTAGTAAATTGTATTTACAAATGTATTATATTTAAATATAAATAGAATCCAAAATAAATATAATATGTCTTTACAATATCTAAAGCAGGCCGGTCACCTTCAGGAGTTCATTGTAACTGCATGGAAAAGAGCGACCAGGACATTATTTGCAATTTCTCTTTTTGCGAGCATCAAAAACGGCATGGGAGTGAGTAAATGTTTCAATTTTCCTTTCATTTCTTGAACTAGTCTTTAATGTGGGCCACAGAGGGCCGTCACAGTTCTCTGCAGTCGTCTGACGGGAAGCAGCTCACCGAGCGAGGAACAGATGCTGTCTGTTTTGCGTTTGACTGATTTCCTTCCCTCAGACCAGACAAAAAAAAAACAACAACTAATCATTATGCAAGTCCCCCCCCCCTCACTTCAAATTTACCATAACAGCATCTATGACCAAGGATTTATAAATATCTTGGGCAAATAGCTAAATGCTTTACATTGAAAAAAGATCCTCTTCTTTTCTGTAATTTTTTTTTTTTTTAAATGACAAAGAAAGGCTGTTGTTGTAAATAAGAATGCGTTTTTAAGTGACTTGCCTTGTTAAATAAAGGCTAAATTGAAAAAAGAAAAACCTAATGCATGATGGGAGTTTCCGGAGGACTAAAGTGAAGTTTTGAAAGCATAAACACCTCGAGTTGTGTAAATATGCTCTCTTTGCCCATGACAGCGTTTCAATCAAAATTCTTGGTGTCTGATTTTGCGAGTCTGGAAGCTGCTTGGTTTCTCTCAGAAGTGAAGTCTTGACACGCCGTCGCTGTGGTTTTCACTCATGCTTTGAGGGGTGAATGTTGACGTGATGGAGACGCAGCACCGCATGTTTGTTTTACACTTCAAATTAATCAGATATGTGCTGCAAGTATCTGATCTACAGTCATGTGATCGTTTTCTGTGTCTGCAAGCAACTGCTGTATTTTAACAACGATGCTGTACTGTATGTGAGAGCCATCTGCATTTCTAAGCAGTTTAGTCACTCACATGACCTAGGTTTTCTATGCTTTATTATGTTTTAGTTGACAATTAATTTAATAAAGTTTTACAGTTACTTACAGTTATTACACAATATGTGACGGTGACCTACCACCATAAAGACCTTTCTGCCATAGAAACGCCACTCAAAAAAACAACGACATAGAAACATGCTAAATAGGGCTGTGAATCTTTGGGTAGACAGCGAATCGATTCGATTCACGATTCATAGGTTTTCGATTCGATTCAAGAACGATTTTTGCAAACTCAGAACGATTCGATTCGATTCGATTCACAATTAAATTCGATTCGATTCTGCATTCTTTAAGTGCATTCACAGGATTATTTAAATGCTTCCCCTAAATTCTTTAAATGCTTAGTCAGGGGGCAAATTACACAGCAGCCTTCATGATTAGAGAACCATAGGTTAGAGAAAAACAAAAAACACCTTTGTCCATTGTTAGATGCTAGTTTAATGATGGTATGGCATGACATGGCATATGTAGAAATGTATGTAAGCCAATATTTTAAAAAATTTTCATTATCATCATCATCATTATTATTAACAGTTCTCAAGTTCATTATATGATAAAAGAGCAGCAAGATCCTTTTGCTAAATTTTTTGCATTTTTTTGTGTTCCGAGGAGGAAAAAGTCATGTAGATTTGAATTGATATGAGGACGAATAAATGATCTCGTTTAGGTGAACTACTCCTTTAAAGAACAAAGAAAACACATCCGTTGCCGGTACTTAAGAAAACCTGGTACCGTAACATTTTCATTTTTTTAGTACCGACTTGGTACCGAAATACCGGGTCTTCTGACAACACTAGAACACACACATATATTATGTAAACAAAACGTTTATTTTGTATGCGATTAATCGTTTGATAGCACTAATATATACAGTGTATATATACTGTATATGTATAAAATATATTTACTTAAACTAGTACAAAATTTAGTTTAGAAAAATATATACATTTATTTATTTTATTTATTTACTAATAAATTTGTTATGATTCAAGTGCTGCTGTCATTAACACAAAAGACAAACCAAACCAAGACATTCTTAAATTGTTAAAATAGTTTAACTTCTCATTAAAACTAATATGCTACAAGCTTAAAAAATATATAATATATATATATAAAATATAGAAATATTATGCATTTAATAAAAAGTAAATTATTTTTTTTAATTAAAATTCATTTTATTTTTTATTAAATTACATTTAGTCCATACATAAAATATATAATAATATATATTAAAATGTTTGATTAATATATAAATATTATACATTTAAAAATCTAATTTAATTATTTCATTTTATTATTTTACAGTTAAAAAATGTGAACTAGATGTCACCACTGATTTCAGACTTTTAGACCCCATTATAAGTTAAGAAAATGTGCCATAACTGCGATAATGTCGGGATGTTGCTAAGCTGTTTTGAATAGTTTTAGCATATTGTGATTGCCAAGGGTTTTGCTAAGTGCTTGCTTAGTTTTCCTAAGCAGTTTTGAGTTAAATCAAGTTAAATAATGGCTCAGTCTGAATTTTAACAGCACAAGTCCTCAACAAGCCACATGATTTCAAGGCGTAGGACGGACAGTGCGAAACGAGATTCATGCATAAGTTTGCTCAAATACAGGATGCTGACATTAGTAAAAACACAATTTTAGACAATTGTTTGTGTGTGTAGATTTCACCTTTTTGTGCATTTCGTGGACTTTCACACATCTCGCAGTGTAGCAGCAATCCGCTGTTGGAGAATGTACATGCCGAACAGTTCCACTTCTGAGTGTGGCGCGGAGCCTGCAGTCCCGACGAGAGTCTTCGGGGGGCGCACAAGGACGACAGTGGGCTCTTCTTACCCCCATGTCGTGACGAGGGGCTAACCTGCCTAAACCGCTTCACCTGCGGAGAAAAGTCCTCCCCCTGGTCGGCCTTCAAATCAGAGCTCTGGATCTCCGGGGTCCGAACAGGCTCCGCCCCCTCAGGTAATTGGGCGAGAGGAGATCCGTCGGAGAGTGAATCCCCGGTTCGTTTCCTCTTCTTTTCTTTGTTCACAGAGGGGGAAAAAAACGATCGGATGTCGTGCTGCTTTTCCCTTTCAAACTGTGGCGGATGGGAAGAAAAAGAACAATTTTTGTGACACACAAAGTGTTTGAGGCTAAGAAACTTCATCTCATGACAGCAAAGTGATGAAACCAAAGACACTTCAGAGAGAAAAGCACTTTGTGCGGTTCAGGTTTCCACGACTGAAAGGTGGGAAGCCTTGTCGTGTTTAGGAATGCCAAAAGTACCAGTTCTGTCACTAGCAATGATAAATCAATCAAGAAAAAAAAATTATGAAGTAGTAATTTCATTTGCTATAATGAAAACAACTAATTTTACTGCTGTTCGATGTTGTTTTAGTGTTTTAATTGTCAATTTGCCTGTATATATTTGAATTTTTGCATATAGCATATTAGGGATGCACCAAATATTCAACCTAAATTATTTGGCCGAAAATAGCCAAAAAAGCTCTTTCGGTGTTCAGCGAAAAGCAAATAAATTGTACCGAAAAATGACGTGACGCAATCAAATAGAGGCGTGCATTAATGCAGCAAACATTTCAGCAGTGTGGAAGCATTTAAAACTGTCTGAGAAAGACGCTAATATCATTACAAGCACCGACAGCCAGAGACTGTTTAGCACTACATCGCATGTTACTGTATGATGATTGAAATCGCAAAATGGCCTAAAACACTCAGTAAGTACATAAAACCAAATATTCAACCTAAATTATTTGGCCAAAAATAGCCAAAAAAGCTCTTTCGGTGTTCAGCGAAAAGCAAATAAATTGTACCGAAAAATGACGTGACGCAATCAAATAGAGGCGTGCACTAATGCAGCAAACATTTCAGCAGTGTGGAAGCATTTAAAACTGTCTGAGAAAGACGCTAATATCATGACAAGCACCGACAGCCAGAGACTGTTTAGCACTACATCGCATGTTACTGTATGATGATTGAAATCGCAAAATGGCCTAAAACAATTAGTAAATACATAAATAAACTGCAGAACGTTATGTTTTCAAATACACACACAAATTGCATGCATTCTGACAGCGCTGCACGAGCTCGCGGCGCTATCTGCTTGTTAGCCAGGGTTCAGAGTCCAAATCTGGGCTGAAACAGTGTTACTTGTCAGTTGCTCAGTAACATTTTTATGAATTTTTACAAGGCATGTGACAATGCGATACGTGTGACAAACGTCTTCGCAAATTCGTAATGAGAATCATTTATAAATCTGCTGTTGTCAACAAAAAGAAGCACTGAGGTCTTCCTGCAGGTTTCCGCCAAAATAAAAGCTGAAAAGAAGCAAGAACTCCAACATTTATAAATGCTTGTATTGGAATTTTACTGTTGTTCTGTGAAATACAATAAAAAAATAAGACAATAACAATAATTACAACAGCTCTGTTAATATTTTTTTTTAATAATATTTATAGTGTTCAAATTAGGATCCATAATATTTTCTAACGTTTTAAAAGAAGTCCCTTCTGCTCAGCAAGGCTGTTTATTTGTACAGTACAAAATACATGCCTGATTCAAGAAGGGGGTCTCAAAAATGGCCAAAAAATATAATTTTACTAACTTATTAATTTTAAGTTAAATTGTACTTTGTTGCTATAATGTTTGCTAGAATGTTAAAAAATGTTCAGTGTTAAGTAAATATTTTTAAATTTTTGTTTTGTAATTTATTTTGTCTTTGAAAAGCAAGACAAAACAGTAAAAAGCACATTTTGGCTATTTAATTTAAGCAATGGTGGAAAAAAATTGGAAAAATACATGGGGGAAAAAACACGGAAAACCATGCTCGTGTTTCATTTTGTTTGGCTTTGGCTTCAGGCAAGAATTTTCGTTTCGGTGCATCCCTATAGCATATTTGTTTTTGATATCATGACAACTGTAGTCGCATTTTATGTTTAATTTATAACAATAATGAAACGTTTACGTACATGAGAAAAGAAAATTCCATCCTTGTCGTCCTCTGAGTCACCTTTCATGGTGTCGCTTGGCGTCCATGCCTTAGCAAAGTTCAGAAAGTCCCATTTCTCTTCGTCTCCCACCTCAGCTTTCAAATACTCTTTCTTTCCGTTCAGAGCGCTGCCCGTAACCGTTTCCTGTCCAATATCATTTGTAAGAATCACAGAAAATGAAGGCACATTTTCCAAACAAGTCTCTCCAAAGTTTACAGTAGATATTGTGTTGCCACTTAATTTAGTCCCAAGACATTACATATTGATTATTTTAGAAGTACTTCGGCAAGTCTGGAAACTATGTTCGCACCAATTCAAAACTGTACATTTAAAGTAATCTATAAAAATGTTCACAAAATGACAGTGAAACTTTTTGAGTGCATCTATGAATACTGAAGGAGACATTTTTTCATTATCTGAAGGTTGAGCTACCTTTCTGTTTAACATGGTCCACATGACGGTGTCAAAGGTTCCTTTGGCGATGAGGTAGTGGATGTGTACCGTCGTGGTCTGCCCTATGCGATGTGCTCTGTCCTCTGCTTGTTTGATGTGTCCTGGGTTCCAGTAGAGTTCGGCAAAGACCACGTGAGATGCAGCCGTAAATGTCAGACCCTGAGCACAAGGAGATTCATCTGTTACATACAGTATGACAGCAATATTTGCATGTTAAGTTACTGAGGTTGACATGCTTGAGAGTGTTACAAGGTTGAGAAAAATAAAGAACAGTGAGATGTTACGATATTGAAGTTGTGTGAAACATAACGGACGGTGTCGTGATTAAACGTACCGTGTAACGTCTGAACCACATGCCATACGTTTATGATTGAGGTTTTACACGGTTGCGTGAAATGTTACGAACAACAGGTGTTACAAAGAAGAACAGTACAATGTAAATAATGTTGAATGTTACAAGACTGTGTGATGTATAAATTTATCAGGGGTTGAGGTGTTACAAAGTAAGATATATTTAAATTAGGTATGCACAATAATATCGAAATGTTATCGGAATTGACCGATAAAGGCTTAAATGTAAACATCGCCATCTGTCGATTAAAAAAAAAAAAAAAGTGCCAATATGTCTTGCCGATAAGACTAATAGCTCACATTTACTCAGGGTGTGATAGTGATAAAATCACGTCAGCAGTGTGTTCGTTCTTGAAGCAAACTTTTGTCTGAATGATGATTTGATTCACATTTTGGATTGCCGCATTTAATCTGAGAATGCACGTACACAACGACGCATCCGGTGTGCGAGAGAGTCAACACTTTCTAGTAGTGCAGCAGCGGCAGCCTCTTGGGCAGGACCCACCCGGGTCCTGATGCCTTACCGGATTTATTTACTTAGGGGGCACTGTTGGCCTCTTTATAATAAATAAAAGTAAAATAAACAAATAACATTAAGTTACTTGTGTTTCTGAATAAATAAAGCAGTATCAATGTCATAAAATCACGAGACTGTTTTGAGTCAGAAGCTATACCTTACATGAATAAAAATCCCAAACATGACACTTGTAAATTAAATAACTTAATATATACAGATTTATTAAGTAATACGTAATATTTTTCCAAATGGATTATGAAAACTTAAATAACAAGGAGCTCTAAAAGATTTTTAGAATTTTTTACAGCTCTTTTAATGTTAAATCTACAAATACATTTTTAAGGTTTCAACTGCATCTTCTGAGGATAAAAACAGCAGAGATTGATTTTATTAGTTATTTTCAAGGCTTTCAATGTACTCTCATTAAATAAAAAACTTTAATAATGTTTATTACTTCTAACAAATAAGTTTTTGTTCAAAACTAACCAAAATTAAAAATAATTTGTTTAGAATTTCCGCACAGGAGAGACTTGGTGTTGTTTCAAAAACAAAGCAAAATATATCGGCTATCGGCCAAAATGATTTGAAAAATATCGGCATATCGGATAGTGGCAAAATCTAATATGGTGCATCCCTAGTTTAAATAATAACAATGCGTTTACAAAGTTGTGTAAAGTGTAACAAATAATAGTACGGTGTTTACAAGGTTGAGTGTTACGAGGTTGTGACACTATATAGAAGAATGGTATACATCATATAGTATGACAGTAATATTTCATTTAATCGAAAAATGTAGTTATTGAGGTTGACACACTTGAGAGTGTTACAACAAGGTTGCGTGAGGAATAAAGAATAACACTATGATGTAACAAGATTGAGGTGTTATGAGGTTGTTTAAAACATTAAGGTCGAATGATGATTAAGTGTTTGAGATGCTACAAGGTATGTTTACAAGGTTGGGGTTTTATAAGGTTTTGTGAAATGTTACAAACAACAGTGTTTGAGAAGTATAAACGAACAGTTCAATGTTTACAAAGTACTAGTGTGATGAGGCTGTGTAGTTTATTACATCAGGGTGTTACAAGGTTGTGTGTCATACAAACAGGAACATTACAATGTTTGTGACGTTAAGATGTTAGAAGTCTGCTTTAAGTGTAAAGAAGAACAGTATAGAGCAGTATGATATATTCAATGTTTGGGAGCATTAACATTTCAGTGTTACGAGTTTGTAACGTACTACATAGAGGAATGTTACAATGTTAGCGAGTTGGAGATTTCACAAGGTTATGTCAAACAAAGTAACTTGTAATGAGTTAAAACTTGTTATAAGGTTAAGTGTTACAATGAATGAATGACAGAATTTTTTTTACAGTATTCAGTGTTACGAGGTTGTGAGACATACAGTATGGAGGTATGTTAAAATGATTATGAGGTTGACTGTTACATGGTCTTGTAGAGGAATGTTACAATGTTTATGAAGTGAAGATGTTACAAGGTTGTTTGAAGCATTTTCAACTTAGTGATTTTGAGCTTGAGTATTACGAGGTTGAGACGTACTATATAGAGGAATGTTAAAAATGATTACGAGGTTGACTGTTACGAGGTTATGTGATATATTTATGTAAATGAATGTTACAATGTTTACAAGGTGGAGATGTTACATGGTTGTTTGAAGCATTTTCAACTTAGAATGATTACTGTACAGTGGAATGTTACCAAAGTTTACGCAGCGGAGATGTTACAAGGCTGTATAAAGCATTTCAAAACATACTTATGATTACAATGTTGGGGTGTTACAAGCTTGCATGAAGCGTAAAGAAGAACAGAGTGGGTGTTACAAGAAATATGGATGTTACAAGGAACTATTACAAAGTCGTGTGGGGATTTACAAACAGCAGTACAATGCTCATAAGGTTGAGGTGTTACAAGATTGTTTACCTGTCCAGCTGCCTGTATACTTAGTATGGCCACACGCGTGTCTGGATCATTTTGAAAACGATGCACAAGTTGGATCCTCTCTGCAGATGGAACACTGCCATCGATGCGGATATAACTAGCCTGGAAAAGAGTGCGGAAAGAAGAGAGTCTAAAGTGAATTTAGGTTTTTAACATTTTCATTCTTTTATTTATGCGTAAAAGCTTTGTAATTAAGGCAAAAATTGCACCTTTAAATCAAAATCTCTTCCAACTGAAAGCATTGCGAGAAGTAACAAAACTCATAACCATTGACTGACGCAATAAAGACTGAGTTTTGCAGATCTGTGGTTGTTCAGAGAGCATTAATGCACTCAAGTCGAAACTTACTGCGAATGTGACACATCCAGAGTTGGCAGTTGGCAACTTTTTAGTGCGTTTCAAGTACGTTTTTGGCATTATCATCTTCCTACCATCATCTGACAGCTGTAAAACACAGGTGAAGCGGTGTACAACACCTTTCTCTTTCTGCCTCGCTCAACTTCAGAAATTATCGCACCCGTGTTAATTTTAGCTTCCCGCCTAACTTCCCATCTCTCGCTCGGGGTGCGAGGAGCGTGACAGGTGTGAGAACGTCGGAGCGTGTGCGATCACACCTGCTGGTGCGAGGCCCCCTCTTCCCCCATAAGATTCATAAGCACCAATTAACGGCAGGACAGATAAAAAAAGAAAAAGCCGAAGAAAATCTTCACAGTGTCTGGGATCAAACGTCTGGCCAGAGAGCAGCGAAACAAGAAAGTGAGAGAGAGATGGAGGAAAAGAGGGGGCTGGGAGCCAAAAAGAAGAGGAAATTGACAAAACAAGCTCTCATTAAAACAGTGAGACATCTGTGAAGACACCGTGTCGACAACCAGCCGCGCTCTTTAGGGTGCAAAGTGTTTTCAGCGTGCCGCTGTGTGAACAGGCACAAGAGGAATGAATCGTGGTAAAAGATGAATCAACAGCTCTGATGAAATGTCTGTTAGACAACAAAAATGGATTTGTCAAGTGATGCAATGCAAGTTTTGGGCCGATACCATTCAGAAGTGCACCGAAGTCTGAGTCACACCAAAGTTTATGATGAATTATTTAGACCTGGATCATAGAGTCAGTGAGGTGATTTTGAGAACCTGATCAGTAAGATTTTTGAAAGTCTGGTTTTGTGAAATGTACCAAATGATTTAATGTATAAATACGTCTGAATTTAAATAAACCATAGTTTTTATGTCCATACTGTTTCCATAATCTTAAAAATTAAATTAATTTCTATGACTTTTTTCAGGCCTGGAAATCACCTGATATTTCTTGGTAATTCCATGTTTTGTTTTGTTTTTTAATAATTAAATAAATATTATAAAATAGAATATATAATAAATATTAATATTTTTTCATGTATACATTTTTTAATATAAAGAAAAATTACTGAATCGTTTGATCCAGATTATAAAACCACTCAAAATAATTAGTTTATAAACCAGACTTTGAAATGAAGGAATTACTGAATTACTTGATACAAGTTCACAAAATCAGTCTGAATAATTCATTTACAAACCTGACTGATCAAGTTCTTGAACTCAACTCACTTTCTTTTCAAAGAAAAATGACTAAATCAGTTGATTCAGTTCACAAAACGAGTCTGAATGATTCATTTACAAACCAAATTGATCAGGTTCTCAAACTCAACTCACTTTTTACTGAAAGAAAAATTACTGAATCGTTTGATCCAGTTCACAAAATGAGTCTGAATAATTCATTTACAAACCTGACTGATCAGGTTCTCGAACGCAAATCACTTTTTACCGAAAGAAAAATTACTGAATCAGTTGATCCAGTTCACAAAATGAGTCTGAATAATTCATTTACAAACCTGACTGATCAGGTTCTCGAACGCAAATCACTTTTTACCGAAAGAAAAATTACTGAATCAGTTGATCCAGTTCACAAAATGAGTCTGAATAATTCATTTACAAACCTGACTGATCAGGTTCTCGAACGCAAATCACTTTTTACCGAAAGAAAAATTACTGAATCAGTTGATCCAGTTCACAAAATCAGTTAGATTGATTTGATTACAAACATACTGGGCTGCGTTTCCCAAAAGCATCGTAAGCTTAAGGACATCGTAGACCCATTGAAACCAATGGAGTTACGATCAACTTAGGCTTACGATGCTTTTTGGAAATGCAGCCCTGATCAGTTTCTCAAATTCAACTCTCTCAAAGATCCAACTCAAAAGAACCATTTATTTCATGAATTGGACATTGTTACTTCATGAAATGCTATCAAAGAGTTTAGGATGGATATCAAGAGGACTTCAGAAGACCTGAAATATAGCACACGAGTCGTATGGACTATTTTTATGATACTTTTATAAATCATTTTGAATCTTTCCAATGGCACAATATTCAATTTCTCAAATTTTGCTCATCAGAATGAAGAAAGTCATTCAGATTTTCAGCAACAGCGGTGAGTAAATGATGTCAATATTGACATTTTTGCATGAAAATTGTTTTTAATATAACTTTTAAACTAGTGGTTTATATACAGACACTCGCCTGATTGACAGCGAGACTCTGACCTATTCTTTTGCCATAAGAATGAACCAGTGCCCTACTGAGGGAATGTGTTAAAGCAAAGAATGAACTCTACCCAGGGAATCAACACGCTCTCCTTCACCTCCTTTAGTGCTGTCAAGCCCTTTCATTCTGTTTTTTTCCCTTTCACACAAACACTTTTTTGGCCTTATCTCGCATGCAGCTCACATACACAAAAACATCCACCTCTCTTTCTCTCTCTGAATGGGTCAGTGTGTGTGTGTTGGGACGGCGGTGTGACAGGCTTTGCTGCTGGCTGATTTAATGAACAGGGTTGAGGTGCTGACATACTTTTGCTTTCACTAGAGTCGCAGCGCACACACACACACACCTTGGCCTCGATGACAGCCTCGGTACACGCCTGCAGCATGCTGAGATGATGAGCAAAGACCAGAAACTTCAGCTGTTCGGTCTCCAACATCATCTTTATATAGTCCTTCACCGCTCCGGCCTGAGAGAGATGGAAAGAAAAAGAAGAAAATAGAGAACAATCATATCGTGATCCATCCAGAAAATGTCGTTTAGTTATTCTAACATTTAAAAAATTCGAACATTCTAAAAAGCCAAACATTCTAATATGGTACCAAATGAATTATAAAACGGAAAGTTTCAGATCTAACGTCTAAAAATTAGACACATGAAATTGGTTCTGAACGAATGCTACATTTGATACAAATGGTCACAAACAACGTTATATATACATTAAAAAAATATATCTACATCTCATTTTATATTTTATATACACTACTTTTCAAAAGTTTGGAAATATAGAAGAAATAGAAGAGTTTTTTTGGTTTTGTTTTATTTTTTAAAGTCTCTTCTGCTCACCAAGGCTGCATTTATTTAATCAAAAATACAATAAAAACAGTAATATTGTGGAAATATTATAACAATTTAGAATTACTGTTTTCTATTTTAAAGGATTTTAAAATGTAATTTATTCCTGTGATGCAAAGCTGAATTTTCAGCATCATTACTCCAGCCTTCAGTGTCACATGATCCTTCAGAAATCATTCTAATACACTGATTTGCTGCTCATATTATTATTAATGTTGAAAACAGTTGTGCTGCTTAATAGTTTTGTGGAAACTAATAAACTAATGTGGAAACGTTTTATTCTTCGATAGATAGAAAGTTCAAAGCATTTATTTGAAAAAGAAATGATTTGTAGCATTACAAATGCATTTACTTTTGATCAATTCAATGTGCCTTTGCAGAATGTATTTCTTTAAAAACTCTATATTTTATTTTTATTATTATTATATTTTTACTATTTATTAATTAATTAATTTTTTTGGAAAGAAAACATTTTTTTGACTTGATCTTTTGGCCAGCAAGTTCCCTGGCAACCTTCCTAGTAGTTTTCTTCTGTAAAAATCTAGTCTATAAATGTACTTACTAATAAAACCCAAGTGTCTTTTATTATAGTGCTGTTGCTGGGCTTCATAACTGCAATCTGCCACGAGTGCTAATGCGATTTTACAACATTTAACAGTGTTGTTTCGCCACTTTAATCCCAAATCGCCTTTCATCCAGTGAGACCTGCTTTTCCATCTTCAAAAAAACCCAATAAAAACACGAACCTCCTCAAAATCCCTAAACTGCGAGATGAACTCGTCGGCTAACGCCCGTTATGGTTAGCGTAGTTGTTAAACGAACAGCATACCGAGTCATTTGCCGGAAGCCAGTCCTCTTTTCCTGAGTTTCAAAGCTGCTCTTGGGTTTCTCATTACTGAAGAGTTTTGCCTTTTTAATATCGCCTAATTGGCGCCCGAAACTGTCTGTGAAGGAGTGCGGAAGTTTTTTTTTTTTTACAGCCTCGAGTGTACGCGTGTGCGCGGTGGCTCCGATTCACTCATTTTCGCTTGGCAAAAACAGCGATTACAAAAAGCGACACCATTCCTGACACCGCACATTTCTGCCCTGAGAGAGAGAGGATATCGTCTCAGTGGCAAACAATAAATGAAAGAGCAGAGAGGACAAGAGCAGCGGGGACCAGAGCACACGGGTTTGACAAATTAAAAAACACACACTGCTTTCACACTCGTGCTGGTTTGATACACACGCTGGAAAGCTTCATTCAAGACGCACGCTGTGCTCAGGAGGACGATATTAAAGTGGTCGTAGCTTAAATCGTTCGAGAAGAAAGAACGTCTAAATCTCCCGACAGAATGAATAGTCTTGCTTTTTTACGACAAACCTGTGCAAAGTCGCTTTTTTTCTCTGAACTGTGATGTGAAAGCTCGTGTGAGTGATGCAAAAAGCCACGAAAGTCGCGGCAGGTCTCGTCTGGAGCTCATAAAACACCTTGTTAAGTGCGAGATCTGCAGGAAAAGATGTCGGCCGATCAAAAAGGTCAGAGTTAAGGTCGGCGCGACGGCAGTCCGGCCCTCCCGGAGCTCGTTCCCATGGCAATGCGGCGGTGTTTGATGTGGAGAACAGAAGGGCCGGTTGCCATGGTGGTCGTTAGCGGCGGTTTCACACTGTCCCTCATCGTTAGAGGACGGAAACTCGCCGCAGATGGCCGTTATTCTGATGGCATTCGGAGAAAGAGATGAAGTTGAAATGAGGGCTGGCTGGCTGACTTTTCTTTTACTCGGATGCTAGGGTGGATCTAGTACAGTAATGTTTTGGTTTACAGGAAGGGTTGTTGAGGTTTCAGAAGAGTTTAGGCTTATGATTTTTGCCTGATTGGTGAAAAAAAGAGACCAAAATTTTATAGTCTTGCTTTGAGGGACATGAGTCACATAGAGACTAGACTTTTCACCTAGCAACCACCCAGAACACCCTAGCAACATGTTAGAAACAACCTACAACACCTATCTATCTATCCATCTGTCTGTCTATCTACCCTTTCAGTAAACAATTAAACAAATTTCCATTACTAAAAATTACGTAAACATTTTTTAAAAGTAATTGCTATTATTTTTAATAGTGATTTTCAGTATTTTAATATAAAAAATACAATATATAAATACATTTATATATGTATAAAAAATTACTAAAAATAAAAAAATATGTTTAAATGAAAAATTAACAGACATTGAAGGTACTATAACAATTACTACCATGATGCATACATACTTTGAAATGTAAATGTCATATTTTTCCCATTACAGTAATGTGAAATGGAGAGAAATGTGCTTTTTGTAATAAAAATAAAAAATCTAAATAAAAATATATAAATAAAAAAATTGTCTGGTTCCAAACCAGTGGTATTTTTAGTATCAAGTTATTTTTATTAATATTTTGAAACAGTTTTTATTTTTCTATTTTCATTTTAGTTAAGGTTTTAGTAATTTATTTGTTATTTTAGCAGTGTTTTTTTTTTATATGTCTATATTCTAGTATATTTTGAAGTACATCAAGTAAAACATTTTATTTCAGCTAATTGCCAAGGCAAGATTTCTCATTTAAATTATTTATTTTATTATTTTTATTATTATTATTATTATTATTATATATAAATGTTTTTGTTTTAAGTTGACATTTATTTTAAGCAACAAAAATGTGTGTGTGTGTGTGTGTGGTCTTGTCTTATGCTTTTAGTCTTAAACTAAAATAACCCTGTTCTAAACACAGGCTTAATTATCTATATGTAAAAAATAATTCCTTATGTTTTTTCATATGTTCATATGTTCATTTTCAAATGTTTCTCAGATATGTTCAGGACAGGTTTCATGAGATTCACACATTTAAAAAAAAAAAAAAAAAATGTTGGTAACCGATATGGTCGATTTATCCCCTTTTTCTAAATTTGCTTCAGTCTTAAACTAGTACACTGAAAAGAGTATTTGAGACCCAAAGGAACACAAAACTCATATACAACCCAGTAAAAAAGAAAAAGAAAAAAAAAAAAGGAAGTACACAGAAATTCCCACAGCATCAAGATCTACAGCCATTTTAGACAATTAGGGCGACGTGAAATGAGAAATAAACATCTTGAGGATTTTGCACACACTCTTTACCTTGGCAATGGCGGTCTGCTTATACATGTGTGTGATGAGACTCATCACCTCCACAAACTGATTCTCACTCTCAGAGCTCATCAGTTTCTCCCACTGCTCAAAACTAGCACTCGCTTCCTGTGAGAAAGAGAGAAAGTGAATCCATAAAGGGCAGCACAATTAATGATATCGTAAACTGTCCTACTTTCCCTGTGTTTGGCAAAAAGCAGCAAGAAAAACAGACAATAAAGAAGGATGAAGTGTGAACGAGAGAAAGTGAGGGGTAGAGGGAGCGAGAGGAAGGAGACACAATTCCCTGAAGTTGCAGAACGACTCCTTGGGTCATGTGACCTGCCCAATTATAGCGCTACAGTGACAGCAGCAGTGGAAGATGGAAACACACCGTACCGGCGCTATAAATCTCCTGCGGGCACACACACACACACACACACACAGAGTCCTGCTCTGCCCCTAAAACAAATGCAGATCCGCCTGCACTACCCGAGAGGTGCTGCCAGGGTTTGGACATCAGACTGATAGGAAGTCAAGCAGTGAATGAAGGAAACGGAGCGCGAGAAAGACACACAACCATTATTCAGCCCAGAGCTCCTTTATATGCTTCACAATGTATAACATAACACTGATAATGAGGTGACAAATGTAAAGAGAGTGAGATAGATAGATATAGATAGATACTAATTACCGGTTTGACGATAAATCATGATAAAATTCCCCACGGTTAGTATTACCATTTCATCTTTTAATTATCATTAAAACCTTATTAGATTACCGCGATTTGAACCACTCCTGATAAATAAATACTGTCCATCATAAAGCACAGTTTTAAGTAACAGTCTCACGTACGCACAGCAGCAGAGGGTCACTATAATCGTGATAAGAAATTTTCATACCGTTACATACCTAATAGATGGATAAATGGATGGATAGATACTGTATAGATAGATAGATAGACTAGACAGAGACGGATACTGTAGATAGACAAACAGATACTACGTAGCAACAGACTGATAGATTGTATAGATTAACAGATTTTTGTAGTGTAAATATTAATATAAACATTAAAAACATGAATCTTTTCACATTTTCAAACAGCTGTATTATCATTTAAACCTAAAATTGTGGAAGAAATCATTTAAAACAAATAATTTCTATGCTTATTGTCATTATTTGTGCTTTTTTTTTCTTCTTGTTTTTACAGCATATTCTGACCTGTGAAATATTTTGCGCTGTATTTTATGAAAGGTGCAATTAAATATATACGTTTTTGTAATACAAAAAACTTCCACTCAACTCATTTAGCTGTACTTCATTCCGTTTGTTTCACATCTAGACAAACCGAAACCCAACCAACCGTCAACACACAGAACAACAAACGCCTTTCCTAACCAAAACAACCAGAAACAAACTGAAGTTTGTAAATAAACTCACGCTAGCTTTGCCGAACGTCTAGCGCGTTTGTAAATATAAACGTGTAAATTGGGCAGTGAGGGTCAGCAAGCGAGTCGCGGGTTTGCTCCGCCCAACCGTTCGTTAAAACGCAGGTCGTTCATTTTAAAAGTGATCTGGTGAGATTTGGGTTATAGTGAAAGAACATCTGTCCCCTGGACCGCTGTGTGTAAACTAGTTAGACAGAGAGCGTGTGAGTGTGTGTGCTGACAGCAGATGATTTATGAGGTCCTACAGCAGGTGAGCTGCTCTTTGTGTTTCTGAAATCTGACACACACACACACACACACACACACTCAAAACTTGCTGTACAAGCACTCCTGCCCACACACACTCATTACTTGGAGAGAGAGACAGCCAGACGAAATAATCGCAAGGAAAACGAGAGCCTGCAAGATTCATAGAGGGGAAAAAAATGGCTTTATCTTCAGACAGACTGAAGGCTACTCACACATTGCTGCCCTGGTCCACAGAAAGTTCACTTGAAAATGAAATAACGGGAGGAACGAGCACCTCTGACATTTTTTCTTTTTCTTTTTAGACGACACAGCAATTATAAGCCGAGTCTCGCTAAACGCGACGGCTCGGAACAGAATGTGATGATTACTAACGTCCATTCCTTTCTGAATAACATGCTGGCAGCTCGCTCGGCTGCCAAATGGGGAAAAAAAAGATGTGGAAATAAAAGAGAGTGATCAGAGACAAGTGAGATGAAATGATAATTTGTGTTAATCGGATACTATTGCCTAGCAACAGGCACGGGGCGGTTGTACTGGGGTAAATCACTATATTTAACTGCTTTTGTTCTGTTAGTTCAGAACAAGTGATGGGGAAAAAGGTGTAAAGAGGAGAGAGAAATAGAAAATACAGAAAACTTACTTGGAGAGGATCATATCGATGCCATTTATAACAAGAAACTGCTAATTAGAAGGTTTTCCCTTCTAAGTATTAATTTAATTTAATTTAATTACTAGTAAAATGAATTTAATAAATTAAATATTGATTTTTTTTATGCAAGCTTTCTTATTTTTAGATTAATTAATGTATTAATTGAATTGCTAGTAAAATTAATGTAGAAATAAAAAAATATCAATATATAAATTAGAATTATTTTCATGTAATCATTAGTGTTTTTTTTGTGTTTTATTCAAGTATTTTTATTTAACTTTTTTATTTTTCAATTTTACGGTGTTTTACAGTATTGTTGATTTACTGAAATGAATGAATGAATGTAAAAAATCCACTTGTAAATTGTCAAAATACTTGTTTTTGTAATCATTATTGTTTTTAAGTATTTTTTATATAGAATTATTATTGATCAACAATGTAATAATTTGCTATAATAATAATAATACTAATAAATAATAAAGTAAACCACTGTGTTAGCATGGTACATTTAAAAAAATAAATAAATAAACGGTACTGACCATGGTAACCATATGCTTATATTCTGAACTGTGAAGCTGCTTGGAAACGTTCACAGCATATCTTGGCAGCATCTTTGGGAAGGTCGAAGGGAATTTGTTGGCGTATTTTGGGTGGTAGTTGAGTCAGCACCTGATTTTTGAGTCTACGAATCATAATCTTGCTCAGACGCTGGTGTAACTCGTCTAAATGAGATGCTCCGCGACAGTCCCACTGCCGTCTGGCCCCGAAAAACCTGCACAAGAAAACAGACATTTCACTCATTCATAAAACACACTTCTGCTGTATATCTTCCTCATTTCACCAAAATCCTCAGCTATTTCACCTATTATCATTGTAATGAGACCTTTTCTGTCTTAAATGTGTGTGTGCATGTGTGAGAGATTTAATTATGATTGTTTTATATTTACTGCCGCATATACGAATGATTGACAGGAATCTGTGCGCTTTCTAGTCTTTTCCTCTGTAGATTAATTTGTACTCGGAGACCCTTGTGTGAATCGCTGTCGTTTCATTTCTCTGCTGTATATTTGATAAGAAGAACACAGGAACAAAACTCCTCTCAGATGTTCTGAACACCACTCATCTTCATGACACAACTCATATCTGAGCTTCACATTAATGCTGCCGCTACACACACACAAGCAAATTAGCTCTGCACCAAACCCTAGTCAGCTGTCTACCTAGAAAGCATTCTAAGGGATTATAGACTTGTGTTACGAATGTAAAATGTATATTTAATAGAGTAAATAATCCCAGAATGCATTGCAATGAGCTTAGTGGGGGGAAAAAGATGGCGGACAAGCAAATTTCATGAAATACTGAAAAATATCAATGAAAATGCTTCAATATAATAAAAATGTTACTATTTCACACAATATTTGTGTGTGAATATCAGGAATTTTCGACATGGAAAATAGAAAACTGCAGAGAAATCTGCTCTGCTTGTAAGAATGCTTTTTACGAATATTTTGCACAATTTCATTCTGCTTGTAAGAATGGGTTTGCAAACCATTTGCAGAAAAAATTTGCTCTGCTCATAAGAATGGTTTTGCGAACAATTTGCAGACAAATTCGTTCTGCTTGTTAGTTTTTTTTTTTTTCGAACAATTCGAGAAATTCGCTCTGCTTATAAGAATGGTTTTTGCGAACAATTTGCAACGAAATTTGCTCTGCTTGTAAGAGTGTTTTACAAACATTTTATACAATTTCATTCTGCTTATAAGAATGGGTTTGCGAACCATTTGCAGAAAAAATTGCTCTGCTTATAAGAATGTGTTTACGAACATTTTGCACAAATTCGCTCTACTTTGTAAGGTTTTGCGGAGAAATTCACCCTGCTTGTAAGAATGTTTTTTGTGAACAATTTGCAGACAATTTGCTCCCAAGAATGGTTTTACGAACATTTTGCATAAATTTGATCTGCTCATGATAATGGTTTTGCGAACTATTTGCAGACATTTGCAGTGCTCCTAAGAATTGTTTTATGAACGTTTTTCACAAATTCATTCCGCATGTCAGGATGCTGAGAAATTTGCTTTGCTCGTAAGAATGGTTTTACAAAAAATATTTCTTTGTATTTCTCCCAGCATCTAAAATGACAACTTCCTCAAGTTGCCTGAGGAATAAATAACAATAACAAAACAGTAACGCTAAATAAAGAAATTAGTGCAAAACAACTTGGCTTAGTCTTCTAATTAAATAAATATAGCAATTTTTAGTGTTAAACTTTTGTATGTACTTAAACTGCTTGCCATTGATGCTTTTTATTAAATTGACATTTGCATGCTGTATTGTACATTAATGGCTCGTTTCCACTGAGCGGTACGGTAGAGTTCAGTTCAGTACAGTACGATTCGGTACGGGCAATCCTGATCAGGCTTGCGTTTCCACTACCAATAGTACCCTTCTTGATAGGCGTGGTGTAGGCTATGCCGGAAAGTAGCGATCGACAATGAACCGCGACAATAAGCACAACTCTGCCTCTTTTTGTTAAATGTAAGTTTTAATAAACAATAATAGCCATTATAAAAGTATAAGTACAAAGTATAAGAGGCGGTTTTTGGGCAATGACGTTTCACAAGTCCACAAGAACGCATATTCAGAAACGGCTGTTGTCTGTGTGAAAATATAAAATTATAAAATACACGGTTATATTTTTTTGTGTTTGCGCACTCTGATGTAAATAAGCCCAACACTCATGGACAGCAGAGCGGAACGAGTGAAGGACGCTTTATCCTCTTGTATCACGCAAAAGTGACGATTCTAGTCAACCAATCAACGTTCTGCGGTGAGTTTAGCTCCACCCTTTTGGTACCCTTTGCTGTGCTAGGTACCCCAACGGAAGGGTACCAAAAAAGTGGTACGGTTCGCTATTTTGGTACCATTCACAACGTCTGACAGTGGAAATGGACATAATTGCGTACCGTACTGTACTGTACCGTACCGAACTGTACCGCTCAGTGGAAACGAGCCATAAAGAAGGGTTTTTACTTGTAGTGGCCGTTGCAGTCTTTTTTGGCGAAGTCGCTCCAGGTTCCAAATCTCCGTGGATACAAAGCATGGATTTGCATGAAGAGCTGAAAGAGAGATCAAGAGATCAAAGCATCGATCAGTGTGACATCATAAATGTCATATACAGAAACTAACTTTAAACTAGAAACTTCCAATGGCAACAAATAACTTTAAAAAGAGGGACACTTTTATAGTTCTGACCTTGGGCCTATGAAATCATGAGTTTATTGAAAATCGGTCAGCAGATTTCTGTTTATGGCTGGTGAAAACAAATACTCTGCTGATTAAATCGGGTATTAAGTTCATAAAATGCAAATGTGCTTCCTCTAAGAGAAAGTCTCACAGTGCACATTACGCACTCAGTATAAACTTAACAGCGGTTATCTTGATGAATTAAGAAAACACTTTGTGTCTTTCATAAGAAGTTCAGATAGATGTTTCAGAGGAATTAGAGAAGCAATAGAGGTTGAGACTCCCATAATACGCACACAAGAGTCATCTTGAGAGGTCTTTACGTATGTAATGATGTACATTTTGATAATGCTTTTGTCCGGTGAACGTTTTAAAGAAGGAAAATAGCAGCTCTCACAATGTGAAAGTGCACAGAACGTGGCATCCCTCAAAATGAAGCCTTTAGTATTTCCTGCATAATGTATTGGTCAATTAACTGACCATCACTGACGGGTAGATCTGCTATAAAAACTAGTGGGAGTAAACACAATATTTAATAAAACGTGAATAAAACAGAGGCTGTGAGGAGTGGAAGTACAGTCTGTTCAATGGGCTTCATTCATAAAACACGAGCAGAATGAATTTCATATCTAACATTTGGAAAACCATACATATTGAACTGAACGTAACACTTTACATAAAACGTAGTTTTTATGAACCATTTACTCAGAAATTCGGTCTGTTCTGTCTTTTTTTTTTTGTAACAGATTTCTTCTGCTCATTTGAATGGTTTTACAAATTATTTGTACATAGAATTCATTCTGTTCATAATGTTGTTTTTTTGAGAATTATTTGCACAAACAATTAGCTTGTAATGGCTTTTTGTTAATGATTTACATATGAATTTGTAATGTTCATCATGGTTTGTGAATGATTTGCACAAAGATTGGTTTTTAGGAATGGTTTTGTAAACAATTTGCAAAGAAATTTGCTCTGCTTGTAAGAATAGTTTTACGAACATCTTGCAGAAATTCGCTCCGCTTGTAAGAATGGTTTATTTGCATATGGAATTCCTAATGTTCGTAATGGTTTTGTGAACTATTTGCATTCAGAATCAGAATCAAAAAGAGCTTTATTGCCAAATATGTTTGCACACACAGGGAATTAGTTCTGGTGACAAGCTTTCAGTACACAGAGACAACAACACACAGATAATAAAAATGAACAAAAATTGTATGTACAGTTGTGGTATATAGATGGAATAGAATATAATTTACAAGGAATGGAATAAGGGTAGTAACAGTAGGGGAGAACATTTAACTATTCATGAGGTAGATTGCCTGGGGAAGAAACTTTTCTTGTGACTGGCTGTCCTGGTGTTCGGTGCTCTGTAGTGCCGACCAGATGGTAAGAGATCAAAAAGGAGATGGCTTGGACGTGAGGGATCCAGAGTGATTTTCTGAGCCATTTTTCTCACTCTGGAAGCTCCAGGTTGCTAAGACTGCACCAGACAGCCAGCTGCTCAACCTCGCTTCTATATGCAGACTCATCATCGTCCTGGATGAGGCCGATGACTGTAGTGTCATCTGCAAACTTCAGGAGCTTGACAGAGGGGTCAGTAGAGGTGCAGTCGTTGGTGTTGAGGGAGAAGAGCAGTGGGGAGAGAACACACCCCTGAGGAGCGCCAGTGCTGACGGTGCAGCCGTTTGATGTGAATTTACCAATTCTCACTAGCTGTTGCCTATCTGTCAGAAAACTGGTGATTCACTGACAGATAGAGCTAGGAACAGAGAGCTGGGTTAGTTTGGTCTGGAGGAGTGTTGGGATGATTGTATTGAAGGCCGAACTGAAGTCCACAAACAGGATCCTCACAGAAGTCCCTGGTTTGTCTAAATGTTGAAGGATATAATGCAGTCCCATGTTTACTGCATCATCCACAGACCTGTTTGCCCGGTAAGCAAACTGCAGGGGGTCCAGTAAGGGTCCAGTGATGTCCTTCAGATAAGCCAACATCAGTCTCTCAAACGACTTCATGACCACAGGTCTGTAGTCATTCAGTCCTGTGATTTTGGGTTTCTTTGGGATGGGGATGATGGTGGAGCGTTTGAAGCAGGCAGGGACTTCGCACAGC